GTGTGACATAGACAAGTGTTAGGCAGAAGGTAAAAATTGATAACGATCAGGGAAACGGATAGAACGACTACTGCGCGTAGGGCGCAAAATCGGGAGTGGAGCGGAATTCATAGAATTATCAAGTGTAAGCACAGATGGGAAAGCACGGAATGCGCCGTGGCAGATGAAGAAGGCTGATCTGTTGGGGTGGACGAAAGACGGCGGTATAAGCCACCTACGACCGATCGACTGAGACAACTGTGGTACGATCGTCACGGCCCGTTTTGAAATCCTTGTCCGTGCGCGACATGACTCGATAGGGTCCGTCGTAGGGCCCCTTCAATAGTTTACGAACGCCATCTACGCGGACAAATATAAAAGAACCTTTTAGCAATTTAAGATCAATATATGACTTACTTGACGGAGCGCGTGGAGTTATGGCCCGGGGATTAGCCAGTCTTTGGCGCAACCGTTGGACATAATCGGTAGCATCCAGATCGTCTAAATTTTGGGACGGTCCGAAAAATTCGCCGGGAATTTGTAAGATAGCCTCGTAAACAAGTTCGGCAGTGGATCACTCCAAGTCGGGTTCGAGCATGACCAAAGGAAGATGCTCGCCGCAATGAGTGAGACTGTCACAGACCAGGAGCGAGGCTTCGAATTAACGATGGAAACGCTCAACTAGGCCGTTGGATGAGGAATGGTAAGCTTTCATGCGTGTGCGAAAGCATCCGGGGAGGTGAGTAAGGGTACGAAAAGTCTAGATTTTAAATTGCTGGCCTCAGTCGGTGGTAATAGTCTTCGGGACACCATTATGGGACAGCCGGAGTCCAAAAAGACACGGTTGACAGTATCTACAGCGAAGTTTGGAATCGAAGTTGCGATGGGTAATCGCGTTAATCGATCGACTGCGGTGAGCAAATAGTCGCAACCACAGGATTTTGCCAAAGGACGCACGAAATCTATGGTGTAAATGTGTAAATCGCCCATCGGGGTCAATAAAAGTTCCAATTGGTGGTTTATTGTGACGGCCAATTTTGGCTTTGCGGCAGGACTTTGGCGAGTCCACTAGCGGATGTCAGTGTCCACGCTGGATCAGACGAACCGGTCACTGACGAGGCGCTAAGTAGCCCCGATGCCAGGGTGGGCGAGATTGTGTAACGCGGTGAAAACATCTCTTCTCATCTCGCTTGGTACTATAGGGCGTGTGGAATCACGAGATACATCGCGTAGATGCTTTTGGTTGGCATCCCATAGACGCTAAAGTTTCAGCTATTCGCGAGCTCCCTACTCCCACTTTTTTTTCCGACAACTGCGCCGTTTCATAGGTCTTGTCAGTTCTTACCGACGTTTTCTCCCTCAATGTGCCCAAATAATGTTACCCCTCACAAAACTTTTACGAGGCAACAACCGCGAATGTTCTTTTCCTGACACGGTCGTGGACGCTTTTCAATATGTTACAGAGGCCCTTGCGGATAAACCTGCTCTTTCTCACCCTCTAACTGATGCTCCACTGTCTATCGTTGCCGACGCTTCGAATTTCTCCATAGGTCCAGCCCTCCCCCAACGGGCACCCAAACACTATCGTTCTACTCTGCTAAATGGGCACCCTCCCAAACTCATTATAGCACGTCTAGTAGAGATCTCCTTGCCGTCTATCTCCCCAGTGGGAATTTTCTTAATCTTATTGAAGGCAGAGATTTTTGTGCCTACACCGGCCATAAACCCCTTACTTATGCCTTCTCCACTCCCTATTATCGTTTACTTTAGGAATTTCCATCTATCACCCGGCCTTCGCAGTTTGACCAGTCTACTAAACATTCCGTCATGTATTATCTTTCGACTACGAAACCACCCGTATTTAGCCGTCCTCATCGTTCAGCGGCTGACAAGTTGGCTATCGCCAAGGCTGAATTTAGTCATATGATGGAACTGGGCATAGTTCGAGCCTCCACTAGTCTATGGACCGCCCCTCTGCACATGGTTTGCAAAAAGTCTCTCACGGACTGGCATCCATGTGGTGATTACCGACGAATAAACGACCGCACTGTCCCTGATAGATACGCGCTTCCCCACCTTCATGATTTTTCCTCTAGCTTAGCCGGAGCAGCAATGTTTTCAAGCATTGACCTAGTAAAAGCCTTCCACCAAATATCTGTTGCTCCAGAACACATCCCCAAAACGGCGATTAAAACTCCATTCGGTCTTTGCGAGTTCATGAGGATACGTTTTGGACTCCGTAACTCCACCCAAACTTTTCAACGTTTCATTAACGAGATCCTCCGCGACTTGCCCTTCGGTTTTGTTTATGTCGATGCTCTCCTAGTTGCAAGTTCCAGTGGCCAGCAACAGCTACAACATCTTCATCTAATTTTTGAGCGGTTGAGCCAATTTCGATACGCGTTTTTCGCGTTCCCTCGTTCGTGTATCCAGGACATCACGTTGGGGTCACCAATGTAAGTAATAAACCGGTCTATCGCGGGTAGAATTAGAAAGAACAAACTGCCGCAAGGATGCAGCTGGACGATAATTTGATATTGAAAGTTGTAAAAGTTTGTTGGTTTATTAAAAGAAAACGCTTTTTAGTGTCACTACAAGTTAACCAGAATACGCAATTTTTAAAATAAAAAATCGTGGAAGATGCGGCTTCTGCACTGGGACATAACTTTCTCCGGAGGATAGCTGGTTGATAAACATAAGTACTTATTACAAAAGCAATTATTTTTGAAAATGCGGCCTTTGCAAGTAGAACGAAGGAAGATCAACACAAACCAACATCCCATTGGTTGGTTTGAGACCTTGATCCACGTTAATCAACGCTGTGGGCTCAATCAAAGAGGTCTTTGGAAGCACACTTAAGTATTTAGACCGAAATGCTGTGAGTTGGAGCTTTGTCTATCCACGTAGCGATTCTCCACAATAGCTTCCTGAAAAGGCCTCTTGATTTACAGCAGGCGTGCATTCAGAAGATGACGGGATTAGTTTCCCACCGAAAAGGCTTTGACGTGCTTACGAGTGCCGAATGGGATGGTTGGGCATCGAAAATAATGCGGGGGTGGAGTGCGCGAAACTGAAGCCAGTTCACTCGATTGACACGAGACTGGCATGGAGGATCAGAATTCATCAGTTAAAACAACCGAGCCATGGCCATGGGATTTACATGTTTATGAGAGTCAGGGTTAAAAAATATACCTCTCAGTTCAGTCCAGATGTATGCATGGGAGAACAAACAAAGGATAAGCTAATTAGTCCGTAGTAAAACCAAACTGGCGACACAGAACAGCTGATTGCAGAAGTTATTTTGGTTCTCAACACAGCCTGCAAGTTATTTTTTTCAAGCATATGGCCAGCAGGGAGCAGAACTTGACCGCCGACGGATACAGTAGTGGCGTTACTATTCAAATAGGTTCTGAGGGTGCTCTTAGCTCGGAAGGGTGCTTTTAAGGCCCAACCGATTGCGCCACCTTGGAATCATTCTCCACACCAGTCTGGGATAAATTACTCATTGCATCATCGGCCAGCCGGCAACTCAGGGACGCCTCAGACGGTTTGCTTTTCGGGAAGGATTCTTCAGTGGCTTTTGTACCCAATCCAAGAAGAATAAGAATAAGAAGAAGAAGAAGAAGAAGAAAAAGAAGAAGCAATCTAGCTGATTCATTGAATCTGTAGTTGGCAGCCATCGTGGCCGGTCTGGCGTCATTGTTCGAGATCTCGCTGTCTCTAGGTCATTCCCCATTTGCAGTGAGACGTTCCGGACGGGCTGACCTGAAGTCACACGACCAACAGCTCGGAAATACCTGCGTCCATACAGCCGCAGCTGCCCATGCGGCCACTCGAACGCACCTCCCCCTGCAACCGCAACCTAAGCCACTCGGACACCAAACCTGGGTAAATGCAACACACCCTGACTGGCCACCACTTGAGCTTGGCCCACGAGCCTACAAAAGCGGCTGCTACCACTATCTCAGGGACTCTCAGGCATGACTGGACGCAGTCAACACCAGACCTGGCTTTGCCAGTGACCACTGCCGCCTGAGAGGACAACTCCGGGTTCTGTGCACAATAACCTCCTCATTCTGGTGCCTTCCTTCTTCTCCTTCCAATGTGGAGGTTGACTTGATGATTGTAGCTCACAGACCACACACATTCTCACTGCTGTGCCGCTACAGAACTATAAGCCACCTAAAGCTGAGTTAAAATAGCAAGTCCCCTGGGCGCGGTTTTAAGGTATGGATGGCTGACGAGAGTGGGCACGTCAGAAGCGGCTATTCCATACTCCACTGTTTCGTTCATTTGACCAGTCAGAGTATAAAAACTGAATGAGGCAACAAGCGACTATTGTGCCATTCTTCCCGGCCAGGGTGTCCTTATCTTTGAGCTCTAAGTCCTGATGGCTATCTGGCTAAGCATCCTCGAATAAGTCGAGTTTGTCGTAATACGGTGCGGTAACCCGCCGTTTCGCTGCTGAAGAAGACTATCTTATTGAAAGAGAAGAAGGAGAAAAAGAAGAAGAAGAAGATGATGATGATGATGATGATGATGATGATGAAAAGAATGATGGTGTATAGTACCCTTCAGGACCAGGGATGACCATGCGTTACCAATGCAGACTTGACAAAAGTATGCATCCTCGAAATGAAATCGACCTTAGCAATTATTTGTCGTCTTCTGCGTTCTGAAGTGCGATGGCTTTCTACCAGGGAAGCCATAAGAAGAGAAACAAGAACGGCCATGCACAGGGCAGAATGCCATTGCATTCTGTCTTCTCCCTTCAACTTGGGATCTGGCCTGACGATTGTAGCTCACATGCTGCACACACTCACACTGCTTAGTCGCAACAAAGCAGCTCAGTGCTACAAAACAAGCCACTGACTGTTAAGAAGTAGATTGTCTATTTCCCCTCAGATCTTGTGCTGACAAGAAGGGCCCGCGGCCAAATCAAAGATGACCTGCAGTGAACACTAAAATTGTTTATCGCAGAAGCCTAAGCCGAGAGAGGGAGAGAGACCTTGGCCTGGTCCCTAGTGGAAGGAGAAGATGAGCGTCAGTTGGGAGGAGTGTATATTCTGAAAAGAACAACTAGGGAAGAGGGTTGGCGGGTTACCTAGAAGAAAAGGTGTCATCAAAACTAGGGAAGAGATTGGAGAGAGTTGGCAGCCGGGGAAAAGTGCCTCTAGCGCCAGGAGGACGGCGTCCCAAGCGTCCGTCAGGGAATGCGTCAATGCGGCTTAGACCAGGGCACGTCTGACTCGACCTTGAATCTGGTTGGTCGGTTGGAAAGCCGAGTGAGAGAACGCCAGACAGCCCTGGTGCACGAGAGGCCCGTCGTTGTGACAGGCTCTCGGAGTAGAGCCAATACAAACTTTGGAAGCTTCATTTTCCCTCAATCAGAATGGAGGGGTCAGACGATTGAGAGACCACTAGGACAGGCCCACCCTGCCCGACTGTTCTAGAGGGGAAGCCAGGCGACATTAGACAAGTACTCTCCTGGTGACGTGTCGAAGTGAGATAGTTAACAATCGAAATTTCCTAGATTAAAAGTCGGGTGGCCGAGTTGGCGGGATAGAATTTACTTGTGGGTGAAAGAATACAAGCTACTCAGGCCTGGGTGGCAGCGACCACGCCGAGAGCCAGTCTGAGCCTGCGCTTGAGCCATGCGCGGCAGCGGCCGATCATTGAACGTCATTGACATCACGGTATCGGCAAGCCGAAGGCTGAGTCACAAGTGCACTGCAAGTATTCTAGACCTAACGACTTGACTAACCGGTTTTCAAGGACTAAAGTACATGTGATAAAGAAAAATATACCCAAGCATGGGTGGGGCTAATTGGGTGCTGATCATCCTCAACCTTCGCCCGGACATTCCCCGGTCTAACAGCCCAAGTTGGTCCTTGTGCAAGTACTCAGCTTCTTTCTATCAGAAAAAGACAGCTATTCCAGAGCCTCCCCCTGTGCGTCAGCAGGTTTACCTGTTTCGATGAAACGAGACGACTCGATTCCTCCTTAGCGAGTCAGGAAACACCAGATGACCTATTCAATAAGATGTTATTAAAGGACACATTAAAATGCTTCCTTGGGATATCTGATCTCCACCACAAATCGGTGGGACGCCGATGAAGCCTTCCGAGAGGCCAGTCCAGCGTGCTCCGACTGTTTATACAAGGTCATTTACACTGGACGTACGATTAGCTAGTCAAAAGCTCGACGTTTACTGTAGAGTTTTACCAAGGGTTTTACCCTTCCAGGCCCTGGTTGCGGCACTTACTTCGGCATCACCTCTTCGCTTCTGAAGTTGAATTGCCCTGGAACAAGTGTGTCTAAAACTCATGATACTTCGTGGCGTCGGAGAATATTGGTCGAAAATACACAGCTTGTCAAATATTGAAAATAAAGACGAGAAACTGTAATCTAAACCAAATATTGTTTGATAACGGAGAAATTCGTAAAATATAAACAAAAATCAATACTTCGCGAAGGAAGAGTTCAACAAAAAACTTCATCTCCCCATCCTTTAACAAACGATCGCTGGAAAAGGGAAATGCGTTTGAGCTAAATGTAACACTCCTATTTTTATTCACAGGCAAAACTTTAATGACACCACGCTGTACGACGGCAGCTGACACACAAAGGATCAGACCCGACTGGCTCAAACATGTGGCTGATGTTCCAAAAATTAGCTTTGTCATGATGATGCCTTTTCTTTAATTCCTTTCATTTTCCCCAGACGGACCAAATCACATCACACAGTTGCTGGTTCTTTCGTGACTTCGCACGCTTTCATTGGTTGGACCGGAAACCCGCCACTCGGACGCTGACTCACACAGCCGCCCCAAAAAGGAGAGTCGGCACATGGGTACACGACAATAGAGCATACCCTACCCGTCGCCGGTGGCCGGACCTACTTAGACGTCATCCCCTTGAGTGATTTACTCCACTCCGTCACTGCGCGCTAGATCGTGGACGATCATCTCAAACGTGCGCTGACCAGTTACTGAAATTGCGCAAGACACTGCAACCTAGGAAAAAGATACCTAGACAGTGGACGAATATGTCCCTCTCCTTGAACTATCATCCTGTAGAGTGCTTTTTTAATGCTCTAAGACAAGCATGCAGCGTGCATTGACTTTTAATTAATATATATATATATCGATATGCGTAAAGATTCGAGGTCCAGACATTGTATCGCGTTCATCATCTCCCGAAGAAGACGAAGAAGAAGAGAGGGCGAATCCATGGACCATATTGTATTCGAACTGACGTTTCGGAAACTTCCTCGTTTCCATCATCAGAGTAGCGTAATTGTTGCACTTGCGGATCTTGAGTTATTCAGTCTTGCCGCTTGCCTCGTATTATAGCCGTGCTGGACGCACGAACTTTGACCTGCCTGTTTGCCGCTGACTGGCTTAGACCTCCACGGAGCTGACCGCTGATAGGCCTGCGTGACCTTTTTTCCCTTTGGGGTCGGCTTAGTTGTGGTCAAATCAACGTGCCGCTTGGCCCCTCCCACGTCAGCCGGTGGACTGAATAGTCGTTGCTGTTCAGGTGAGCAGCATTCAGCTTCGCGGGCGCATCGGTGAGACAGTGTTCGGCTTTGTTCACGTGACCTCTGGCCCCCAGTTCCGCTCTTTTCCGTGAGCGTTGACTCTCGGTCCCGCGTGCTCGCTTGCCTTACTGGTCCTGTCCGGACTGATCTGAGCCTTGTGCGGAGTGCTTGGTAGGCGGGATGGAGATCTATAGCTCGGTTGAGTGTACCAGTCGAGGACCAACTTTCGAGCACCAGTTTGGCCATCTTCTCATTAGCTCGACCAATTACCCTCGCTTTCTCAAAGGCAAAATTGTGGTTCAGTTCTCGTATGTGACCATAGACCAAAGACAGCTTGTCCTTGCGGTTGATTGCAAGTGGGTGTTCGTGCAATCTTGTGCCGAGGCGTTTGCCCGTTTCACCAACATACCTTGCATTGCAATTTAGACATGGTATGCTGTAGACCACCGCCGACTGTTCTGTTGTTGGTAGCGAGTCCTTGGGCTTCATGATTTGCTGTCTGATGGTACATTCTGGTTTATGAGCCACGCCAATCCCAAAGGGTTTTAGCATTCTTGCCGTTGCCTCTGATACGTTCTTCACATAGGGTATTGAGAGGCAGAACTTGGGCTTTTCTCCACTCGACCGCTCAAAATGAGGCTTTTTAAGGCATTTGCGTATGATGGACTTCGGGTAGCCGTTGGCTTTAAAAAGGCCCTGTAAGTAATTCATCTCCGCCTTCCTCCCACTGCCGTCGCTACAGTGTGTCTGAACACGTTGAAAGAGAGTTCTGACATAACTGCGTTTATGACCAACAAGGTGGTTGCTTCGGAAGTGGAGGATGCGCCTAGTATTTGTTGCCTTACGGTAAACCGTTGTCCTTATCTTCCCGTCTGTCAATCTCGTAACTTGTACGTCCAGGAAGGGCAACTGATTGTTTACTTCCTCTTCCATAGTAAACTGAATGTCGGGGAAGATTGAGTTCAACAATGTCTTGAAAGCCTTCATCTCACTCCTCTTGATTACAAGGAACGTGTCGTCGACGTATCTGGCCCAGAACTTCGGGGGGTACGAGCTGAAGACCTGCTGCTCGAGTCTCCGCAAAACTGCTTCGGCAATTAGTCCAGACAGAGGCGAGCCCATCGGTGTCCCCTTCTTTTGCTCGTAGACTTGGCCGTTGAATGTAAAGAAGGTCTTAAGACACAGTTCTAGGAGATCGATGATGTGTGCTCGTTTGAGCTGTTGGTCGGTCTCATCATACTTTTCCCGGAGAAAGCCATCAATAGTGTCGATAGCCAGCGCGGGTGGGATGGAGGTGAATAACGAGACAGGCGGTCGACAGGCCGGACCGAGCCGACGTTTGGTGACAGAACGACCAACAATATGGCGGGCGCTTCCATACATCGACGGCGTTTCTGAGGCCGTCTCGCGTCTCTTAAGACCGATGGGGATCGGCATCGCCCACCGACCGGAGTCAACAATTCGACATCTGGTCATGAGACCTAAGGCCCCCCTGCCCCTAGGTGAAACCATGAACGTCATCTACCGGATCCGGTGTAACTCCTGCGAAGTCAACTACATTGGGGAGACCGGCAAACGGCTACAGACCCGTGTTGGAGAACACATGAGGGCAGTACGTTGAATGGACCCTTTGTCTCTGGTGGCCGAACACTGCGCCGATGCCGGACACACGTTCGCCTTTCAGCATGCCGAAATTCTGGGCCGGGGAAACGATCGCATAGCCAGGGAAAAAATCGAGGCTTGGCACACGGGGACAACCTCCATCAACCGCTGTGTGACTCTTCCCGTTGCCTATCAAGCCCTTCGAGCGCAGCTCAGTAAACAATTGAGCAGACGTGCACCCAGGCTAAACATGAATCCAGACATGAGCGAGCCCATGGCGGATACACACTCAGCCACCCCTCAACCGGGTTCCGACCAAGGCGCAGTCCTCACCACAGCCGGTCCATCTACTAGTCCGGCGGACGAGAAAACGGACAGTCGTTGCGGCGTAAACAAGATTGCCAGGCTTGGACGGCAGCTACGGTCAATGAAGGTACGAACGACGACCACCAACGTCGCAACGCCGGCTTCCGATGTAGATTGAGTACGTTCCGTCACCCTCCCTCCCTCCCCCCCGCCCGCCACAGTTCATGTGTGCATGCGGCTGATGACCACTAAAGCTGACCCACCACCCCCTCATCCGGCGAAAAGATGCTCTAGGACTTCCCCCCCGCCCCATCCCCCCTGCCGCCCTGACTTCATATGTAAGAAAACCCGTTTTGACATGACTGTTACCCACCTATAAATACTGTGAGGCGCGACACCACACTCACCTCCGACGATGGAAGCTTGTATGCTTTTGAAACGTCAGGACAGTAAAACTATGGTTCCCGAGATCGCCTTTTCTTCTCAATATATATATATATATATATGAGATGGTGCCGACAAGGACAAGTGAGACCGCAACAGCCATTTCTGGCTTATAAGCCGTCATCAGCCAGTCATACCCAACCCCAAGTGTGGATCACTTGAGATTCGAACCCGGGATCTTTGGTCATGGAGTTTGACGCTCTACCATTGAGCGCCCACCATCATAATATATATATATATATATATATATATATATATATTATGATAGTGGGCGCTCACCGATCAGGTTGCGGAACATGCTCGTTCCGTTGTGCCTTGGGGCTCATACTTAAACCCTCGCAGGCAGTCGCACAGCGACTAGTAGTAGATATAGATGAGATAGTACCGACAAAGACAAGGGAACGAGCATGTTCCGCAACCTGATTGGTGAGCGCCCACTACCATAATTAATATTCCCGATCACAACCGACAGGACAATGGGCCCGTGGCTCAATGGTAGAGCGTTCAACTCCATGACCAAAGATCCCGGGTTCGAATCTCAAGTGATCCACACTTGGGGTTAGGTATGACTTGCTGATGCCGGCTAATAAGCCAGAAATGGCCATTCCGGTCTCCCTTGTCTTTGTCGGTACTATCTCATATATATATATATCTAATAGAAGCGAAGATGCGCGTCCCCGGACATAATTGAGAAGAAAAGGCGATCTCGGGAACCATAGTTTTACTGTCCTGACGTTTCAAAAGCATACAAGCTTCCATCGTCGGAGGTGAGTGTGGTGTCGCGCCTCACAGTATTTATAGGTGGGTAACAGTCATGTCAAAACGGGTTTTCTTACATATGAAGTCAGGGCGGCAGGGGGGATGGGGCGGGGGGGAAGTCCTAGAGCATCTTTTCGCCGGATGAGGGGGTGGTGGGTCAGCTTTAGTGGTCATCAGCCGCATGCACACATGAACTGTGGCGGGCGGGGGGGAGGGAGGGAGGGTGACGGAACGTACTCAATCTACATCGGAAGCCGGCGTTGCGACGTTGGTGGTCGTCGTTCGTACCTTCATTGACCGTAGCTGCCGTCCAAGCCTGGCAATCTTGTTTACGCCGCAACGACTGTCCGTTTTCTCGTCCGCCGGACTAGTAGATGGACCGGCTGTGGTGAGGACTGCGCCTTGGTCGGAACCCGGTTGAGGGGTGAGGACAGTAAAACTATGGTTCCCGAGATCACCTTTTCTTCCCATATATATATCCATATAGCAGAGGGGGAAAACAGAGCCTGGAGGTAGATTTATTCGGAATTGTTCCGGATTCAGCAGATTATGACTCTGACCATCAGCTGGGATCGAAAGCAGAATCATGCGCATGCGAATCTTATTTGCTTCAGAAAGCCAATAGATTTTTGTGCGTCCATCCGTGAGTGAATGTATACATATAATGGTAGAGGGACGCTAACCGATAGTTTCTACGGAAATCCATCGTCCCGTCGTGCTTTACCGGCCCTCCTTCAAGCCCAACCAGCTGCCGCACATCGGCCCATGTGATAGGCAAAATGGTGTTACCGACAAAAACAAGGGAGACTGAAACGGCCATTCAGTCAGTCAGTCATACCCAACACCGAAGTCACCATGCCGACTTGGCCGCTCACTACGCAGGTTTGCGTTCACGGCTCACTGACTTGCACCTACCCTAAGACGCGGAACATTACGGATTCCGCACCTTCCCGGCAGACTGAACCATAACTAAAATCCCCAACAACCCCCCTAACTTCCGGGGCCTATCTAAACAGGCTATTCACCTCCTCACATGGAGGTGCGTCGTGCCGACGTAACCTCGATGTCTAATGCAATTATCCCTCACCCCACTATTCACTTCGTCTGACGACGGGTTGATGTAACCGACTTGCAAATTCAAGAGTACATCGCGATTTCCCGACGAGCCTCCTCCCTTTTATTATGTCATCTCGGAATGCATACTACCTCTTGCTGCTGTTGTTGTGTCAGCGTTTGTCGTTGTTGCTGGTTTTTGGATCCTGAGCGGATAACCTGCGGAGTGCCTATGACAGTCCGTCAATTCGTCTAGCTGCCCTTCTGTCCGCCTCACGCTCCCTTGGGCCGCGCGAGGCTTGTCAAAACCAATCAAGGCAGCCCCTTCTCTGATTGGCTGTCGGGCACTAACTGAGGTAGAGCGAAGGCGCGCTGGGTTCTAGGAGCCCAGCGGAGATAGACAAAGCACTTGCGTGAAGAGACCGATTGTGGCAACCGGTTGCAGAGCCTCTTGTACGCTCTCGTGCGTCAGTAAGATTGCCCAACTCAATCTGCTTTCCCGAATTTTTATTTAGGAATCTTTGTTTTGTCCATCATGTCACCTTGAAAAATTTGGCACTTTTTCGGCGCACCTCCCTGTGCCCATAAAAGTAAATCCGGAATAAGAAATCTCATCGGAAAATGCAGTACTAGTTCACAAGTAGAACATACTGCATAGATCTAGGTCTGTCTTCTCACGCCTATTATTGGTTAACTCTAGAAGGTAGTACCAAACTTCATATTCAGAAATCGGAGAATGCCAAAATGGCTGCTCAAACTGACCCAACAGTAAAAAAAACCAGCGCCTCGGTGTGATTCGAACCCATGACAGCAAGGGGTGGCTTCAGTACAGCCAACGCTCTAACTATCTGAGCCACGAGGCCCCATCGGACGATGCGAGTCTAATCACACTTAGGTCAAGTTTACCCGCCCAACCTACTGCAACGTCTGGAATTCACCAAATCTGATGCAGTAAGCTGACTGCGCAAGTACAATTTCCTAAGTAATCCACCTAGAATTCAACAGATGACTACCAACCTCGCGTGATTCAAAACTTGCCGAAATATCTATGAAATGACTATTATAAAATTCTACTTGTTTCGATTTTCCCCTCGCGTCATAAACTGCGTGTTCATTGACCGGATGCATGAAGATATGTACTAATCATGAGTTGAACTTTTCGCAAACACATTTTGCTCAAGACCAAAAGAACTTGACGTGCTCTTTTGGCTGTAGATTTTATGCCAAGTGGGGATTTAAGCATAACGACTTCCTTCTACGATCGGCTTATAAATACCGAGGTGGCAGTGAGTGAAAAGGTAACTTAACAGCACCATTCAACCGGGCCAATACGACAGGAAACTCTTAGTTAACAATACCTTGTTCTTAGGCAATTATTCCTGCTTATTCATGCATGCATTGCGCTCTTAGACGAATTGAACTCGTCGCCGCGGCGTTTTCCTCCTTCAAAGTCCTCCTTTTCAAACGCTGATTGGTCCTAAACAACTCTAGTAATATTAAAGAGCTGAATGTTTAAAAAACTCCACAGGTAAACACTTTAGGCACTACGATCGCTGACTGTTTTCACCGCACTTCAATGTATATCCTTTGGCGAATCTGAACTCCATCCGAGTAAACTGAAAGTATCCACTGACATGCCTAAATGGAGAACTAGCCTTCCCTCTCTGGCGTACTTTTGTGCGTTTGCGTCGTCAAGCCTGTTTTTATCCCAGCATGTATAGGCCATAATGCCCACTCTCCCTCTCCCCCACGTCACTGATTAATCGTTTGCGAAATCGCGTGCTCCCGTGTGCGAGACAGTGGTTTGTAAACGGACCGATAGTCCTTCCCCCCCTCCTCGCACCTCCGTACCCGACTCGCGTCTACGTAAGCATGCACTGCGGCCCACTTTTTCCGGGCACACAGTTAACTAACAACCAGAACTTTCCCTTTATCGTTCATCTGCCCCCAAGAGTACTAGAAAGATAGCATTTATGGATTGCTACGTCATCCTGAAGTACTATCAGTTTGTTGGCCAGAATAATTCAATTCTCTGAAAAAAGTACGCTTGGAAACTGGGCCGGTAGGGACTCATTAAAACACGAACAACAGCAGGACGTTGTGACTGGGAAAACGCTTTTGCTAGAGGTTGTGTGAAGAAGATCTTGTTAGTACGTGAAATCCTGACAATGCCTATTTGTAGACCTTTCGAAGATGTCAACACATGTCCCCGAGTTTTGACAAAGTAACAAGTAATCGTCTACTATCTAATAGGTTAAAAGCGTATAATATAACTGGTTTTTTTGTCACGACAATGTATGGAAAGTTGACGATTGACGCAGTTTCTCAACAAAAATACTACTGAGTATGGCGGATGCAAATGTGATGACTCATCACATGATTCCTCTCATAAAAATCTTCATGTCAATTTTTATTCGAGCCCTTTACTTTGTCTGACCAAACGTTCAGTGGGCGGGCTAACTCATGAAATGTCAACCGAAATTTCGAAATGCGTTCTCGTTTCGAAAGGATTAATTAAGTAGGGTTGCAAATCTTATCATCATGCAGCATAATTATATAACGATCCAGTTACCGCAGGGTGCCAGCTATCGAATGAACTTATTTCCAACTGCCGATAACAACTACACTATGTAAAAAATGGCTACTTATGTAGCATGAATGTTTCTCATTGATTTTCAATGTCCTTAAAAATTCAATTATATTTAATGGAAAACAGGCATTAAAAATATTCATTCTTCCGTTCATTCGGTAGCAAATCACGTCTTCTTCCAATTTTATACTCGAAGGAAGAGTATAATTCGGTTATCAAAAACTTTTATAATTGCCGAATATTTCTTAACCCGACCTGCTGTTATACTTGCATTTAGGGTTTCGAAACTACCAGCCGTATATTTTCCGTGTACAGAAAACCATTCATTTCTC